TGGGTGCAGAGGGTGCGGACGCAACTCCCCCCCCCCCAAATTCCAAAAGGTGCACTTTTTGAAACCTATGATTTCACAAAATTATTTCACAATTATCACAAAATGTTATAGCACGCCTGCATGTATTATATATTTGCCAGCGTATCTAACCGTTGATTTTTAATAATGTGGCATGAAATTTGTTAGAAATTGATCGTCTCCGGTGATTGCAGATTGATCTACATAATATGAAGAATGTTATCTATAAGCATGCAGATGTACAGGACAAAAAAACATTACTTTTTCAGGGAGAAGAGCCCCCTAAAATTATAAAAGAAAATGGAGAAAAAAAGAAAAATCATAATTGTCTGAGAGTGCCATTTCCGGCCATTTTGAGGTGCCATAATCATAAATTTTCTCACATCAGCTCCAATTATGGGGCTGAGGTGGTATTGACCATCTGTCTCAAGTTCCTCCCTTCACCCCCACCCTCTATTTCTCCTGCTTTTACTGTAGGTCCCTAGACAATACTTAAATGAATGAAAATTTAAATAGGATATTACAAATTATGGATTTTAGAAATCCATTAAAAAAGGCCCTCAAAATGATAATTTGTCAGAGCTTCCAGAAGATTCGACCCACCCTCGTGGGGACCCCTAGACAGTAGCCCATCGTAAGGTCCACTTCGGTTGCAAAACGCACCTCCCCATCGAAAATCCTGCCTACGGGCCTGCCTATGCTAGGCATTATAGGCTAGGCTTTATGTGGGCTGGGATTTGCAACAAGGTCTTGGACTAGGCCTCTGTACTGTAGTAGGAGGCCTGGTCCTAGTCTAGGCCTATAATATAGTAAAATTCTGTATAAGTAGTCATTATGATTACAGGTTTACATTGTACCAAGATCAATATTAACGATCGCATTTATTTTTCATTGAAAATTAAAAAAAAAAAAACTTAAAAAAAAGTTAACTTAAGGATTTTAAAATATTCAAAAAAACTGTACACTTCAATAAAAAACAACGCGATAGGATATGAATAATTGGTATACTTGTACTGTATTTTCTGAAGCGCCGTTCGTTTTTGTGGTTGCTACAATCAGCAGTTGTTACATCAGTGGCGTTTTGGGCGCTGACGGAGGGGAGTGGGGAACGCCAGGGCCCCAAGTGCGAGGGCCTCCCCACCCCCGACATTGTTTAAACAAAATATAATATAAACTATAATACCGTAGTTTCATTCATTGGGGCCCGACAGTTTTAAACAAATAAAAGCTGGGTTCTGATGTTTGAGATCATGCTTCTGATTTTGTGATCAATCTGTTTTGCATATTGATCACACAGTTAATTTTTCAATCTCCAGCAAATTTTAAATAGCATCCAAAATCCTCCTTTTTGGAATGTAAGGAAATAGATAGTGCTTTTCCTTTGTTTGATCGATTGTAACTCCTGATTGTAGCAACCCTAAAACGAATGGCACTTCAGAAATACAGTACAGTATACCAATTATTCTCTCAAACTTTATATCCTATCGTGTTGTTTGTGTTTTAAGTTAACTTTATTTATTTATTTTTATTTTATTTTATTTTTTTTAAGCGTACAGGTTTGGAATATTTTAAAATCCTTAAGGGGTCATCCATTATTTTCATCATTTTCACGCGCGTACAAAATGTACGCTGGGGGGAGGGGGTTGAAAGTGTGTGTACGCTTTTCAAAAAGTACAAAAATAACGATTTGGAAATTTTAGCCTACGTTTTTGCAATTCACGAGTAAATGTTAAGTTTATCAATTCGTCGCTCACATCACGAACTAACACAATTAAATTCAATTGTGTTAGTTCGTGAAATCAAAAAAGCGCGTCAAAATACGCGCTGTTGTTGTTAAGGAATTTTTGTGTGGTAAAGAATACAAAATTGCTTGACAACCAATACGCGCTCGTTTTGACGCGCTACTGTGATTTCACGAACTAACACAATCTACTTTGATTGTGTTAGTTCGTGATGTGAGCGACGAATTGTTTTTACAATGAGCGTCATCTTGCATCCCTGATTAACGATGTGTTGGTTAAAGCATTGTGTACTTATAAACAATTTCGAAATACAAGGGAAATGCACTCTAGCCAGGGGCGGATCCACGGGGGCCCGTTCCCACACCCCTGTCAGTCACGCCGAAAAAAAAAAAATTAGAAGAGTTAAAGGGAAGAAAGAAAGAGGGAAAAAAGGAAGTGTACTCATGAGTTCAGTGACGGATCCAGCAGAGGGCGAAAGGAGAGCTCGATTATTTTATCCACTCACTAATTTTGAATTTTCTATTGACTGTCAACGAACACAACGCTATTATCCCCGACGCATCAATCAGGATGTAAAAAGGCCAAAAGGTGGAGACCTAAAGACAGAGTTTTTTTAGCCGGAATGTAGTACCCAGCTATAGAACAGATATCCATGCTCAGCATGGAGTAACGCCTACGCGTTCTCGTGCTAAAATCCGCAGGCCATCGACCCTTTATATAATGATTTTGATAAACAATCATAATTCTCTGTAATATCTACTAAACATTTAACGAATGAACTTCCTTGTGTTGTGGTCATATTAGACTGTTATATTTTTAAAGAAGACCATTCAGCAAACAACATAAAACAAAATTCCCACGTCGATGCATGCATAAAACGTATAATTTCCTGAAATTTGGATATAGAGCGGACTTCCTTATGATTTAGGCCTAAGGAAATATAAATGTATACGGGTCTGAACTTTGTAGGTATACACATCTAGATTCATATTAGAATATAATATCACTAAAGACCATTCAACAAACAACATGAAACATAGGGCCTATATCAAACTTTTAGGTTAAAATTTCCGCTTCCGAGCATGCCTATAACGTAATTTTTTAGATGTATATAACTTATAGATAATTACTGTTGTCCAATTGTGTGCATTGAAAAAACAAAACTCTGCGAAGCTAGGAGAACCCCAAGACTAACTGCACTCCCTCCCCCCTCCCCCACACGTCTAAAATAATCATCCAACAAGCAAACATTAGGTTTTCCTCCCATGACCCCGACCACTCAGGGAACACATCGCTCACCCTATCGGCGACAGTTGCCGACAGTTATCGGGAAGGTTGAACCTGGTTCAACTTTTCCGAATGCGTTGCAGACGCAGACAGGGTGCGTTGGTAGCTGCCTTGCGCCATCGGAAATGTACCCCGATTCGTCAGCCCCAACCATGGTGGGGGCAGTGAGGTGGACCCTCACGCACCCCCTACCGCCAAATCCTTCATCCGCCTCAGGGGTGTCTAAGAGAGGAGGAGCATACGAGGGAGCATAACTGCGTCGGGAGGAAGTCAATAATTTTGTAGAGAAACACTGCTTTGAAAAAGCATTTTTATCGTCCGAGAGTGTCATTTCCGAGCGTCTAGAGGGGCCTATTCTTAAAATTTGCTCCAAGGGCCACTAAATTATATATAAATCATCAAAGAAAGGTAAACACTGTGTTCGAATAAAGGACATAATAATACATCGGGTTCGAGTCCCGCCAGAGGCATTTTATTACACAATTTCTTTATTCATTTATTTACAGGACTACATTCGTTGAGAGCTATGCTACACGATGTATTTATTCAGTCCTTTATTCGAACACTGTATTTACCTTTCTTTGATGAGTTATATATGATTTAACAGTGTTAACGGCTACCTTGATTTATGTTATATGCACC